AGGCTACCGTGGAGGGAATCAGTTATGTTAGCATCTACAGATTACTATTTGTTGCAAAGATGGAACTGGAACTAGCTGATGACCAAACTCCACAACCCATATAAAATCCTTCACTCAATTATATCATAATGGAAATTATTTGCCTACATTTTTGTATTATTTATTTATTTGTCTTGTATGTCACTGAAAAACTAACCTAGATCTAGGAAATTGGTTTTAATCTATTTCTAGTTGTCTTGGTGATTTGAAAATTTTCTTGTCGTTTGGTTACCACCTTTACTCACAATGTTCAGCTGATCTGGTTCCACCAGAATTACACAGTTGTACAATAATAATTAAGTGTATATTTGTTTTGTATATGTACATTAAGTAATAAGTATATTTGTAATTTTCTTTATTGTAAATTTTCTATACATCGTTGTTGTCATCATCGTCTCAGCTGAATGACGTCCACTGCTTGATATCGGCCCTCTCCAAAGATTTCCACCACTACCGGTCTTGTGCTATCTGCATCCAGTGGGTTTCAGCGGCTTTGATCAATTCGACAGTCCTTATGGAAGGGCCGAGCACGTTTCGCCTCCCGGTATGAGTACGGTAAAGGAAAACATCCTGAAGAAACCGACATGTCTGAAAAAAACTTAGCAAGTTTTCGAAAGACGTGTGAAGTCCGCCAACCCGCACTTGGCCAGCGTGATGGACTATGGTCTGATCACCCTCGTACTGAAGAGAGGCCCGTGCCCAGCAGTGGGACGTTAAAAAGGGCTGAATACATGAGTATGCTACAAAGCAGCTTCGCTAACTTTGAATCAATCTTCACTTTTTTTATATAATAGGTCATACCTCAAGGATGATTCATTATTTATTCTACAATTTCATATTATTTAAAAGTATTTTTTAGCTCTAGTTGAAAAATATTATATTTGATGTCATTGCCCTTGAAGTATATTCAAATTGTTCATTGAGAAATTATCAAAAACGTGCGTGAAATTCTTTTACTTTTTAATATATTTTTAGATTGATATTAAAAAACGTCATATGTATGATGATTTTGTAGTTAAAAGAATCGATTCATGTTTCCTTCAAATCTCGTTTTCTAAATAGCTAAGTATTTTTATCTCGTTTAATTTACAACTTACGCATCTCGTTAAGACTGGACAAGGATGAGGTGAATCAACTTTGTGAGGTTTTTGCTGTTTTTGCGATGGTAATCTTGGACAGCGTTCTGTTAATGTATTAAGTAGGTATTAAAAGGTATTTTGAATATGTATAGAGAATAATTAGCCTACAGATCACGGGTTTGATTCCCTATTTATATGTATTACCGTTTATTACATAAGTTTCGTGATTCTTTCACAAAGAAAGTGAATATTTCTAAATTAATATGAGACTCGTTATTTCATATAGCTTTGTCCGGGACAGAGATTTATATCGAAAGTGGTTTTCTTTTTGTCAAATGCATTTATTCAAAAATTATGTGGTCTACAAGTAAAATCTATACATATAAAAATTCTAACTGAGTCCAATCTGTACACTACTTATTTTTTGGAAAATCTTATTGAAATAGTTATTACTATCGATACAGAGGCTGAATCTATAGTGTTTAGAATTTTTGCCTGTCAGTCTGCGACCGCATCACGAGAAAAATCTGGACAGATTTTAATGAAATTTGGTGTCATGATAGATGGCTATCCGGCTCAACTTATAGGATACTTTTTACTGTGGGAAAACATCCATTTTTTAGAAATCTACACTAAACGCTAAAACGTAAGACGTTCTTCTACACTAATATCGTAATGTAAATTATGTTTAACTAGTGACTCACCCCGCTTCACTCGTACATCCGTAGACGTGCCTTTAATATTTATAATATTGTATACAGGTCGTCTCCTTCGCCAATTTTTATTACAGCAGTCAGACCAAGTTAAAGTCAATCTGTTTACTAAATTTCATCCAAATCGGTCCAGCCGTTTCAGCGTTAAGGAATGACAAACATAGACATACAAATTTTCACACTCATAATAAAACTTAGCTACGTTTTAAAGATGCCCAAATATATTTTGATAGGAGTCCTCGGTTGGTTAGAAAATTTACATATCTACGATATTCATATTTTTGACGTCATAAATAAGTATACATTTTACAGTATTACTATAAAAAACAATGTTAATTTTGTGCTCGAACGCGTGAAATGATATCTTAAAAACTATTCAACGGATCTTCTTCAAAATTATTTTAGTTACAAATGTTTAGGAAGCTCTATTATCTCACAAACTCACTCACATACCTTAATCTGAATTTTATAGACCTAATAGATTTTTATATATTTATCTATATACATATAATGAAACTAGCAAAATCAGAGCAAATCCAGATTTTGTTCAAATTTTTTGTTTTCCTGTTTGTTTGTCTGTTTGTAAGGGCTAATCTCCGAGACTGTTGGATCAACTTAAATTAAATTTTGCATGATGGTACCTTTTATCCCTGGTCAACATTTTAAATACTTATCATCCCCGAAAATTAAAGAGTTCCCGTGCGTCGGATAGTTAAAAAACTATAGTAACTTATGCAGCTTAGTACACAAAAACTGCTACTGATTGGATTTTATTGAAGCTTTACAATAATATAGTTCATACATCAGTATAATAAATAGGCTACTTTTTATCCCGGGAAAATGTACGGTTCCCGTGGGATAGATCTGTTTTTGTTTGTCTATACATATAAAATTCAAAGTTCTGACTGACTGATATATCAACGCACAGCCTAAGCCATTGGTCCTAGAGACATTTTATTTGGAGGGTGTTTTTTTGTAAAGTGTAGATATTCACTAAAAGGGTGAAATGGGAGTTGGAAATTTTTGTGAAAATTTTTGTTCTTTGGTTCGATTGACTCGAAAATTGGTACACGTACTCTTCAATTAATATTACAATTTTTCCAAAATCATCCCCTAACAGAGTCAAATTGGGATTCGAATGTCCTACACAGCATGGTATATGGGCGCTTGGCGCGACAGTGATGCAGGGCGTGCGGGAGAGGGAGGGTGAATTGTATGAATTACTTATAACATAAAGCCAAGGAATTTATTTTTTTGAAGTTTTAACGCGAGCGAAGCCGCGGGTTCTGCTACTATATCTATACATATAATAAAATTCTAACTAAGTCGAATCTGTACATTAAATATTTTTTGGAAAATCTTATTGAAATAGACATTATTATCAATACAGAGGCCAAATCTATAGTTTTTAGAATTTTCGTCTGTCTGTCTGTCTGTTATCGCATCACGGAAAAACCACTGGAGGGATTTTGATGAAACTTGGTATGGTGATAGCTGGTTATCCGGGTCAACATATAAGATACTTTTTACCGTGGGAAAATATCTCATTTTTGAGAAAAAATACAAAAACTGCAATGTAAGAATATACTAATATGTAAAACCTAAGAATTTAGTTTTTTATCATCTAAACGCGGGCGGAGCCGCGGGCAATGCTAGTTACCTATATAATAAGTAAAATAATTAAAATAACGTTAACGTTTATAATGCGTGCATGTACTCGTATAATGAGGATCGTAAAGTCTTTAGATGTACATAAATCAATACTGACTTATTAAGCAAAATACATCTTGTATTTCTTTAACATAAGTTTAGTTAAGGCATTTCTTTTAATTATTAATTATTAGATTTTTCCCTAGTGAAAAACAATAACAAATCTATCCCACGGCAACTGTATGTTTTTTCGGAATGAAAAGTAACATATGTGCTATTCTAGACTATAATCTATCTCAATGCCAAATTTCATCCAGATTCGTTCAGCCGTTCTGGCGTGATTGAGTTACAAACATCCATCCAAAAGTAAATGGGGCTGGGAACTAAGGGGTGTATTCGCAGGATGCAATCTATTGTCTTTTCCAAATTTTATCGAAATCGGTTCAGCAATCGGTTTAAGCTTGAAAAGGTAACAGACAGAGTTACTTTCTCACTTATAATATAGTATGAATCTTATTAAGAAAAATGGTCAAGTGCGAGTCAAATCCGCATGCGAAGGTTTCTGTACCATCGTGCATGTACTTTTTATTAATGTAACTTTTAGATTTATATGTAGTAAATTAACTTCGATGATCGGTTACGAACATTAAAAAAATGTTTCTTGTGTTTTCAATTTTAATTTTATAATATTTGTTATCAAAGCAGCAATAAAAATACTAACTCTGTAAAAACTCAACTCACTACCTATTACGGTTCATGAGACACAGCCCTCGGGCACACAGACGGACGCACGGACAGCGGAGGCTTAGTAATAGGGTTATGTTTGCACTCTTCGGGTACGGAACACTAAAAAATAAACTTACAAGTTTAAAAAGCAAAGAACTCGCTTTAATGAATAACACACATCAAAAAGAAATCAAAGGAGTATAGACTCTTCCAAAACGTTTTTATTGAGCTCCTTAAAATTGGAATAAAACGAACTCTACACTCTATCTCACTTGTAATAGAATTTCCTTTTAAAACGACTTTAATTTTATAAATAGTAATATGAAAGTACCTTTTGAGTTTGTTTGTCTGTTTGTTACCTTTATACTGAAAACGCTGAACAGATTTCGATAAGATAGGGCAAGGATATAGTGGATTACAATTTTTTGTTAGTTGTTAGACAAAACTAGCAATTTTTTAATATAATACAGGTGTTTTTACATATAAAATCTCAATGTTTTTTTTTATTTAGATTACAAATAAGTCGATGGCGTCAGCTTACCTTTTCGATTAACCAAGATTCACATGCCAAGGAAGTTTGACCATCGTGCATCGGACCGAAACGTGCGGTCACACCCAACACTTACGCCACAATATTTGCAAAACTAAAACTGAATGGACGTGCATCTTATCCTTGAGATTTAAAAATTAAAAAAAAAGTTCATTGACATTTCATATTGAGCGGGAAATTTGACGTTTCGATATTATTCGATTATTTGAAGGACATATTTGAAAAATAATTATAATGATATAAATGTTAGGAATGACTGTCGGTCTGTATGTCAGAATGTTTTACATACTATTATTGTGCCCTGCTCTGCTTGCGTCCGGAGTTTTGACGCTGACGATAGATTCACAGCTCGGGACCTCTATGGAAGGTAAGTTTCTTTTTTTTAAAACAATTTTACTTTTTTTCAGCCTTCCGAAAGTATTAAATATTTTTGGTTTATAATAAAATATATATTGAACAAGTAAGAATCGAATCCGCTGCCTCCAACGTTGTAGGTAAGACGCATGTCAGTGTTAACCAATTCTGTATACATATATATAGTTTACTAGCAAAACTTGCGACATTTTTCATATCAAGTTAAAGAATAAATACATAGATTTACAACTTTCATATGATAAGGCACATTGTTAGTTATAATACATGCCAAAATATATTAAAAAAGTTATATTATAGTACAAGCGACTTGCCCTCGGGTGCGTCGGTTTTTTTTTCATGGGAATTTCATGGTTTTATTTGCACAGATCCCTGATTCTTTTTCAAAAATAAAAGAAGCCTAAGTTGCTGCTCTTAAATTCAGCTATCTTCCAGTGATAGTCCCGTCAAAATAGGTCCAGCTATTTGGAAGATTAGCCGGAACACAGACAGATAAAAAAAATTAAAAATAGTTTTTTTTATTAGTACCATACATACTAAACAACACTTCAATTTTATTTATATATCTATACAAGATGACTTAAAAGACGCGTGCGTCTGTTTGTCTGTCTCTTATAATCTTTTTTTCTCTGACTTTTTCTCTGACTCTTTTCTACTAAAACGAACCAAATTAAAAAGTTATATTAAGTAAGGTGACCATAAATACATCAGATTTTTAGGAATAAAACCAGTGATATGAGTTTTTGTATATGACAAAACTACAAAAATACAGAATTTACCTAGAAATTATAGGCACAACGTAAGACTCCCCTCAATATGAGTTCAACTTTACTTGATAATTTTTTTATTATATTTTTATAAAAAACAATGATTATATAAATTAAGGTGTTAAAATACGCATGACCTTCTAAAGCACTACTGTCGATTGCAAAAAATATAACATAGTGCAACCCAATTATAATAATAATTAATTAATCATAATATACGTAATATAGCCCAGTAACTAAATTATGTATCTTAAAGTCGAAGGCATAAAGTCTGTTTTCGATAGTATAGAATTAAATGTTTATTTAAAAAAAAAGAATATATTACTAGCGACTTATACGTTAACCAGCTATCATGATACCAAATTTCATCAAAATCTGTCCAGTGGTTTTCTCATGATGCGTTCCCAGACGTACAGACAGACAGACGATCAAAAATTCTAAAAACTATAGATTCGGCCTCTGTATCGATATTAATGGCTAAGTCAATAAATTAAAAAAAAATGTACAGATTCGACTCAGATAGAATTTTATAATAATACATTAAAAAACTAAAACTAAGTATATTGTTGATTCCTTTTCTGCCTGTTTATGTCAAAAGTGTATTAATGCGTGAATTTGCGAAATTGCGAATAATTAATTAGCCCAGTGCTCGAAATTCGACCATAATCAGTATTGAAAATTTGAGGGAAACATATATATTATATGAAATGAATTTAACTCGTACATATAAAAAAAACTATTTCCATTTTTTTATTGACAACCCTAAAGGTACGAAACATAAAAAAAGAAAAAAAATCGGTTGACACACGGAGGTAAAAAAGGTATAAACTTTTAGCATAACCTTTTTTGTCTTTGCCTGTTTAAATATAGATTTTTTAACTAAAGAGTTAGGAGGCAATAGAAATGAAAAATATTTCTTTAGCCTCATAAGTTATCCATACTAATATTATAAATGTGAATGTTTGTGAGGGTGGATGGATGTTTGTTACTCAATCACGCCAGAACGGCTGAACGGATCTGGATGAAATTTGGCACATAGATAGATTATAGTCTGGAATAGTACATTGGCAACTTTTTACCCTAAAAGAATGTGCAGTTCCCGTGGGATAGATTTGTTTTTGTTTTTCACTAGCGACGAATTTGAAGCGAATCGAGGGTGAGTAGCTAGTTCTTGATAAATAATCATTGTAAAGAAAAGAATTCACAATAATTAGCGAACATATGCACCACAAAAACATACACATAAAAATAACAACGATTTGAGCATCTCCACGTTTTTGAAGTGGAAAATAATTTTGTAAATGTATGTAGAAAAACTCTTATAAGTATAGTTTATTAGGTAAGGCATGAATAGATAGACAGACAAAAGGCCCGATTTCATAGTAGTCTGCTATTTAGCTTATTTAAATACTTTTATCTAAATCTTTTATCAACAACGGAACCACTTTTAAAGTACAACCATTACATTAAACATGCAATAAGGCCCTCCTGACTACTTGCAACCGCCCAATCTTAGTGAGACTACAATCTGCACAGGAAATATTATAGAGCATAATTGTACGCGCAGACACAACGTGCACTCTCTATTCCTGTCACTCTCATATTCCTGTAAGACGACAATTTGACTAATGAGAAATCACTCGCAGGACCGACGGCTTTACGTACTCTGTCACGATACGGCAGTGAAACACCATTAACTCCCAACTCTGGGTTGTTACTGAGCCTTTGGCCTTACTCGAGACTCGAACCCAGGACCTCCGGATTTGCAGTCGCACCACTGAGGCGAGGAATAAAGAAATATTAAAATCAATTTACAATTTAAAAGAAATAACTTAAATGTAGGTAACTACAGAATTACTATTGCTTCGCTCGGGTGCATCCTTAGGTATGCGGATTTTGTTTACAATTATTTCAAAGATTTTAATTTATTGCGGGGATCTCTAATTCTTTTTTTTAAATAAAAATTGCTTAAGTTACTCCTTATAATATCAGCTATCTGCCAGTAAAAGTAGCATCAAAATCGTTTCAGGCGTTCCGCAGATTAGCGAGAACAAGCAGAAAGACAGATAAAAAAATTAAAAATAGTTTTTTTCTTATATGTAGGTACCGTATTCACATACTTTCATATGCATTTAGTAAAAAACTGTTGTTTTGAAATTACAAACAGACACTTCAATATTATTTATTTGTATAGATGTATCGATTAACTAATCGATTATTTATTGTATTAATGTAAAAAAATATAAAAATATTTAGTATGATGTAAACACATACAAATTACAATTTAAAGCTGTCTACGGCCACGCTCTACGATTTTATTAGAGTGTAGTAATTGCACCTTGTGTTTTTGTAATACATTGACTGTTACTACGTGTACCATTAAAATATGATATTTTTACAAATTATTTATTTATTTATCTACTAGCATTGCCCGCGGCTCCGCCCGCGTTTAGATGACCAAAAACCAAATTCTTAGGTTTTACATACTAGTATACTCTTATATTGCAGTTTTTGTATTTTTCCTCAGAAATGAGATATTTTCCCGCGGTAAAAAGTATTCTTTATGTTGACCCGGATAACCAGCTATCATCATACCAAATTTTATCAAAATCCCTCCAGTGGTTTTTCTGTGACGCGGTAACAGACCGACAGACAGAAAAAAATTCTAAAAACTGTAGATTCAGCCTCTGTATCGATAATAAAGTCTATTTCAATAAGATTTTCCAAAAAATAATTTATGTACAGATTCGGCTTAGTTACAGTTTTATTATACGTATAGATTATTGTACTGGAATTTAACTTAAGTGATTATGATAATACTAGCGACTTAACCTCACTTTGCTCGGACGCTAACCTAATTCTTGAAGCCTAGGTCAGAGTCTATCTCATATCGGTGTACAAAAATTTATCCAAATCGATTCAGCCGTTTCTGTGGTAAGTAACAATAATACACACATACAGATTTTCACGTTTATACTTGTAGTACTTGTCGCAATGCATTAGTTCAAGGATACACAACATCTTAAAAAGTATATACCGATTTAATTAGCATTCTTTTGAGTCGCTTCTTATCATTTACATGAATAAAATCTGAGTAATTGCTTAGATATTTTAATAAGTTCCTTTATACGTGCAACTTTTTTATGATTTAACCGGTTTTTTTACAATAAATGGATTTAAACCGCAAAGTTGTGTAACTGTATATAAGAATCAATGAATCAAACAATCGAGTTTTGGTTCAGGATTTTTTCTATTAATGGTATCTCGAGGCAAATTACAACAAACAAGTTTTTAACATAACTTTTACTATTCTACAATTGTGATCGATTTCAAAAAGTGGTTAATCTAATTGGATATGAGTATGTGCGAATATGTTAAAAAATGTATAATATGTTACTTATCTATAATAGTTATGTAGCGAATGTTCAGTTTTATGGGAAAAATGCGAATGGGAATGTTCATGACCAATATTTGCAAATGCGAATGCGAATGCGAATGTTGATATTTAGTGGAGCTGGACTTCTTTACACACCACACCGAAACTAGCTGCATTGCGAAAAAGCCTCTAAACTGTTATTTTTAAAGTTTAACATTCCTTTACCTCAATTTTATTACTATGAATTTAAAGTTCAGCAAGTTTAATTATTATTTTACTGGTCAACTGAGTTAATCTATATTAATATTATAAAGAGGTAAAGTTTGTGAGTTTGTGACGTTGTAGGGGTAATCTCTGGATCTACTGAACCGATTTAGATGAAAGGTTCTCACCGGGTTTCCATAAGAAATCTGTACTGGCGTCTTTTTTAACATAAGTGCCTTTATTATGTTGCTAGTTGTTGAAAATAATTTTAGGCCAATTATCAAACCCCTAGCTTTAGTTTTTGGAAAATAGAGGTTTCAACCCTTAACTCCAAAATTATTTTTTTTATAAAACAATAATAGATACTTGAATAAACCAAAGCGTTTAGTAAAAAGATAGTTTGAGACCTTGGAAAGGATATAGGATATTTTTTATCATTACTTATTGTAAAAAGTAGATAAATAGAATAGAAGCCTATGATTAATTTATATACTAAGATAAAATAATATTTTCTGGCTTTTTTACGTACATATGTACGTATATCTATACAATAAATCTAAAGTTGTGTGAGAGAAAGATACACCAATAAACAAAAAAAAACTTTTTAAAACTAAATTACAAATTTCGATAAGATAAATAAACTATTATCACAAACTTTTGTAAGATTAAAATAACCATTTTCTTTGTATTTCTATTAATTTCAGATTGCTTCGAGCGTATCTCAATAGGAGAGCAGCTAACCCGTGATGGCATCTATCGGAACGTATCAGAATTAACAACGGTGGAGTGCGAACATATATGCAAGCAAGATAAGCAGTGTCAGTCGTATGATTATGGGTATGAAGCATTTAATATTATAAAATTTTCATATCAAAACTTGTTTGAGTTTTAAAATCGTAAAAGTAGATGGAACTGAAGAAACTATTAATTATTCTAAGTTATAAAAAGTAAAAAAAAAACATGGAGCTTAGTTATGTCCCTTTAAATTTTACTTTACAAAAATTTGTCAATTGATAATATATTGCAACAATTTCTATGAATCAATATTGAAAAAAAAACCTTTTTTAAGTCTCTAAATAAAATTAACCTATTTTAAAGTATTTTTATGATGTTAATCGTTTAGTAACAATTTTTTTATAAAATTAAGTAATTAATAATAATATTTTTTTGGTCATTTTTACAGAGTGGGTGCAAAAGGAAATGCTACCTGCGAGCTTAGCAACTTAGATGAAAAAGAAATAAAGGAGAAGAATCTTTTTCAAAAGAATCCAGATTACGATGTTTATGTTAGAAGAATTTTATGTGAGCAATCTCCACCTGTGCCAATTGAAAAGCCGTTTGATGGTGAAGGGCCAGAACATAAACCAGTAATTCGACCGACGGATGATGAAGCCAAAAGACCTTTAGCTGATGATCTGAACTCTTACGAGACAAGTAGACCACAACCATCCTATAACAGACCATATCCCGATTACAATCAAAATAATGATAGACCCGATGATTACAATTCTTTTAGACCTGAAAATGATAGACCGCCAAGCTATGGAGCTCACAGACCTCAGGAAATACCATATAGACCATATAAGAATACATCAAGACCTGATTTATATGATCAGCTTTATTTTCAAGATCATAGGCGACCAAGACCAGAAAACTGGAGACCAGACCCATATCATCCCCCTTTACCAGGAGATGAAGTTCAAGATATTTATGGGCAAACAAATAGACCACGACCTGTACAAGACAAACCTCAGTACCAATATATCATAAGACCTAATCGAAAACCATCATATAGGCCTAATGATGAATATACACGACCAAAACCAGATTATCCATATAGTCAAAATTCTGAACCTATACGTCCAAACAAGCCATATGTTCCAACAAAACCTTATGATAAACCAAGCTATACTTACACAGATCAATATGCTAGTAATTACGGCAATTCACATGATAATTCTATCCATGTTGAAATATATGATCCACCAAGGCCCTACAGACCAAATGTAGACGAAAGACCATATCACGGAGCTGGCAACACAGGACAAAGTTACGGTCAAAATTATGGGTACAATAGCTTTTCAGCCCAAAACTCGTATTCCCAAAACCAAGCTCAATACGGTTCCAGTTCATGGAGCAACGGTTATTATGATCCAAAACCTAATAAACCAGCATATAATCCATCAAATCAAAATGAAGATGTTGGGTATGGAAGTACACCTTATAAACCAAAACCGACAAAGATTCAAAGTTCTTACAACAGTCAATTTAGCCAAAATAGTTATGACCAAGCTTTACATCAAGAAAGTTATAATAGCCAATTTATTAGTGGTCAAGCCTCCAATAATCAGGGATATGGTAATGGTAATAGTAATCAAGCTTCTAATTATGGTCAAAATCAATATCGACCATCTCAAAGTAATCAATATGATAGTAAACCAGGAGGCTATGACAATCAAATATCAAATTCTCAGAATAAACCATTTAACCAAAATAGTAATAATTACAATCAAAACAGCTACGATCAATCAAGTGGATACGGTAACTCTCAGAACCAATTATATGGATCTCAACAAAGTCACCAACAATCAATAAATAAACGACCAGACAATCAATACAATCATGTTCAAACTGGTTATGGCAACGATATACCAAACAAATATGAACCACAAAATAGTGACTCATATAATTCGCAAAACAATTATGGTACCAGCCAAAGTAATAATTATGGCTCCCAAAGCAGTTACGGAAACCAAGCGTCAAGTACAGCTTCACAAAATAATAACCAATACGGTCAACAAAGCGGTTATGGTAATCAAGCAAGTACAACTTCTTCAAGCAACAATGGTTATGGTGCCCAGAGCGGTTACGGTAATCAAGAATTAAGCGCATCGCAATATGGAAATCAAGTTTTAAGCGGTACTCAGCAAAATGGTTATGGTAACCAAGCATTAAGTGGTACTCCACAAAATGGTTATGACGCCACAAAATGGTTATGGAAACGATAATTTACAAAATGGGGGCAACCAAGCATCAAATAGTTATGGTGTTTCTCAATCTAATCAATACACTTCTCAATCCCAAAATTCTCAAAGTCAATACGAAGCTACACAGAGTGGATATGGTAATAAATACAGTAGTTTTGACAACCAAAACTATTACGGCAGCCATCTTGGTTATGGAATTCATAATCTATACGGGATAAAGCCTGGAAGCGGAAATGATCCAAACCAAAACTACCAGCCTATAATTACCAATAAAGAACCCTATGGTGTTTACAGAAGGCCTATTCAAGAAAAACCTCAAAATTACGGAAACCAAGACGAAGATAACGGTTACAAGAAACCAGGACAAGATTCGATTCCCGGCTATGATCGTGATAAGCTGGATGTGAAACCTGTTTATGAACCAGCAAAAGATAAAATAAATTCACAAGGATACCTTTCGGGTCCAAGTAGTGATTTCGTTACATCTAAACCGGTTGCAGTGAGTAACAATGGTTACGAAAGAGACCCTTTACCCGACATTTTATCTTATAAAGGTAAGAAAATATGTTCTATTTTATTGCTTTATACTTATGATTTTAAGAACTAGGATCATACCTTTTTATTCCATGTCTTATTTTTCCATATAAATATTTTTGCATATGAAAAATATATTTTTTCAACCGACTTCTTCAAAAAGGAGGAGGTTCTCAATTCGGCTGTATTTTTTTAATGTTTGTTACCTCAGAACTCCGTCATTTATTAAGCGATTTGGTCAATTTTTGTTTTGTTTTATAGTATGTACTTCCAGATTGGTCCCATTTAAATTTCAAAAAGAAAATCACCCATAAGGCGGGAAAAATAGCTAATTTTGAATTTAACCTACTTCTTACTGTCATATTGACTTGAAACTTCCTTCCTTTCTATTTCCGTTGATAATGAAGTGGTTCGTTATCGTCGACCTGATCTGATGGTAAGGCCAAAAGGTGGATAGGTGGAACTCTTCAATGGCTAATAGTAGATACTTTGAGTTTGGGCTTATTTTGCTTGATTTGACAAGCCTAAAACGTTAGAATCGGATTATAGAGCCATAATTTTTAATATTACTAATAAAAGCGAATTTTAGTTTGTCAGTCTTCATATAAAACTTGGCATCAAACTAACTTAATCAACTTAAGCGAATATTTGATAAAAATAGGTTCTTCTTACTTTGCTACTACTATGTCTACAATAAAAAGGGAAAAATAAAGACTTAAAAAAACGACATCAAAAATAAAGCACTAAAAAGTAAAAAAATGACTGATTGGCAGTTTTCATTTGCTATAGATGTATGTATTCAGCCCTTTTTAACGTCCCACTGCTGGGCACGGGCCTCCCTTCAGCACGAGGGGAATCAGGCCATAGTCCACCACGCTGGCTAAGTGCGGGTTGGCGGACTTCACATGTCTTTTGAAAACTTGCTAGGTTCTCACAGACATGCAGGTTTCCTCACGATGTTTTCCTTCACCGTTAAGACAAGTGGTAATCATGTTGGAAATGATTCGCACATAAAAAATATCAGAGGTGCGAGACCTGGGATTTGAACTCAATTCATTCGGTTTCCCAAGCGAGCGCGTTACCACTGGGCTACCACTGCCTTTTTTGCTATAGATACATAATCAAATATTTTCAGTCGGTGCCAGCCGATACATATCAAAGCATACTGACTTCGAAAATATCTGATTAGGTATGTATAGTAAATGAAAACTACCAATCAGTTATTACTTACTTTTTAGTGTTTTTTTTGAAATCGGTTTTTGTTAGTTTTTATTAAATAAATGATTGTGAAGTGTCTCTCCTCAATGCATGTTATATAATTTCTATTTTGAAGAAGCATGCATATAACCAAAACAAAAAGTTATAATAATATTATTCGTACCTGTCCAAGCCATTAAAATATAACTTTACAAATATTAATTTAAAGGAAATCACTATAGACATAAGCACTCTCAGTTTTTCCCAAATTTCCTAGCTTTCCATTTTTCCCTTTAAACCTCATTGAGACTCATAATATGAACATTTTAAGAAAAAATATGCCAAATATGCTCAGCCAATAAACAGATAGATACACACTCGTATATATAATGACATCAAAATAACCATTTTAAACATCATGTACTTTGAGTTCATATGACACTTTCCATGGCTACCATGAAATGAAATCCGTTAAATGTTTGAATCAACAACCTCGCTCTTTTGTTTTTAAATTGACGAACAGACAGATTGTCATTTATATTATAATAAAACCAACTGACCAGTAAGGGCATGACCTTACAATTTGCATATGCTTTGGGAAAATTGTAATCGTTTGGATTATTATGACTATGATGTCACACTTTGTCGATCCTTCGTTGCTTGATTAATAATTTTAAGATTTTACTAGCGACGTATGCTTACGTTTTAACGTTTAGTATAGATTTCTCAGAGATGAGATATTTTCTCGTAGTAAAAAGTTTATACGTTAACCCGGATAACTATCTATCATCATACCAAATTTCATCAAAATCGGTCCAGTAGTTTTCTCGTAGTACTTTCCCAGACAGACAGACAGAAATTCTAAAAACTATAGATTCGGCCTCTGTATCGATAATAAGGACTATTTCAATAAGATTTTCATAAAAATATTTAATGTACAGACTCAAACAGTTAGAATTTAATTATATGTATAGGTACATTAAATAATACTTACGTTATTGTTTAGAACAAAATTAAGATTCATAAACCAATAACCAAGAAAAGCTATATAGGACATATAAAATACAACTAGCATTGCCCGTGGCACCGCCCGCGTTAAGATGACCAAAAACCATTTTTTTTGGTTTTACATATTAGTATACTCTTACGTTGCAGTTTTTGTATTTTATCTCAAAAATGATATATTTACCCGCGGTACAAGTATCTTATATGTTGATCCGGATAACCAGCTATCATCATACCAAATTTCATCAAAACCCCTCGAGTGGTTTCTCTATGATGCGGTAACAGACGGACAGACAAACAGACAGACAGACAGACAGACAGACAAACAAAAATTCTAAAAAATATAGATTCGGCCTCAGTATCGATAATAATGTTTATTTCAATAATATTTTCCAAAAAATACATAATGTACAGATTCGGCTTAGTTACAATTTTATTATATGTATAGATTATCAAGAATAGCAGCAAGTATAAAACATGTATGTACAATGTATAAATATGTAAAATTATGTACATAATACTATGTTTCTTCGTCTACTTGTTCTCTTCTTTTAGTTAGCTTTTAAGCATTCGAGCTTTTTATTTTGTAAATTATTTTTTTATTTACAGCTTTTTTGTTTTGTTCAGATAGATATTTTGGATGATATATTACATGGTTTACTTTAACGATTCTTATTTTAAGTTTCTTGAAACATATAAGTTGTATATATTGTTGTAATCGCCTCTTAAAACCCTGTTTTTTGATACATGACCCGATTGATTTGGACAAAATATTTTTAAGGCACACAAATTGACGTCTTAGATCCGCCATTTTGATTTTAATTATATCTATATATCATATGATCCTCGCGTTATTAAGACGAATCGTTCGACGTAAAAATCGTCAAATTCGGTAAAGCCGTTTAGTAATTACGAGGGAACATATGGTCGGACATACATACAGGTCAAACGCATAACCCTCCTTTGTTCTACGCTGCAGTCGGGTAAAAATACAATTGTAATACATAAATTGACATTAATGAATCTCTCATATCACGATCGATTATTATTTTTGAACTCACACCCCCATTTCCATGGGAAAAAAAGTTTTCCTCGAATAAAAAACAATGTATTTGAATAATACACATCATGTAATTTAAAAATGCCTAAATTTTGTACTTCCGGTTAACAAATTACATAAATACGAGGAGTATGCATGCTTTATAGGTTCTATTTTTTGTTTAGGGTCTGTTAACATCTCTTTGTCCTTCTAAGTCTTATGATGTATTCTCAAAGTTTACTTGATTTTCTGACGTCGTTTCGCCTTTTTTTTAATATATTCTTACTATGTATTTTTTTTATGTAACAAAAAATCCCTTATATGTAGTATAATAATACTATTAAAATTAAAATTAAAATTTAATGTCCCATTACTGGGCATGGGCCTCCTCTCAATATGAAAGCTATTAAACTATAGGCTTTCATGCTAGCTAAGCATGGATTGGTGGACTTCAAAGGTATTTCGAGAACTAGCTAGCTTGTCACAACCATAAAGAATTTCTAATTTCGTTTGGCTCAGTTTGTAGTGATTCTTCTTGCTGTGCCAGCGGTCGCCGGGTCGAGTACCGCTGGGGGCATTCATTTGTGTGATGAGCACGGATGTTTGTTCTCCAGTCATGGGTGTTTATATTTATAATATGTATGTATTTGAAGTTAAATATGTGTCGTGTGTCAACTATCTGGTATCCACGACACAAGCCTCATAGCTTACCATGGAACAAGATGGTGCTGTGTCTTAATAAGCAAGTGGCAGTACATTGAAAATGACACGCACATAATATTTTTATGGCAATACTTATATTCATTGTATTAGAAGTCATGATTACCTGATCCGGTAAGTTCCAACGTTTTTTACTTAATATAATGGTTCGTAATGGGAGGTCTAAGCAATTTGGCCTGAGCCTACCGTATGCAATTTATTTTATAAGATGTGTTTGGTACAATTTAGAAACTTCCACTTCTTGAATTGTTTTTTTTTATAATCTATATCTAATATGGTTTATTCGATATTATGTATATATTAATTAATAGCACTGCAGATACATATATATATATATATATATATATATATATATATATATATATATATATATATATATATATATATATATTATGTACTAGCGACTCACCCTCGCCTCGCTCGGGTTCACCCATAGGTATTTCTTTAAATTGAAATAACTTTTTATTTATTAACCGATTGAAATAAAACAAATACTAAATGTTAGTGAAAATTGCACCCAAATGAGTTAAGCCATTCCTGAGATAGCGCGCTAGCGCATAAACGCACAGACAAATAGACAAAAATTCTAAAAATCATTGCGTTGGGTTCTATAGCGTTAATAAAGAGCGGCCATGACAGTTTTTCTCAAATATATTCCATGTACAGACAGCGATAAGTTATAAAATTATATATATATACTAGCAGAGCCCACGGCTTCGCTCGCGTTAAAACTACAAAAAAATCTCTAATAAAAACTTAAAAAAAACCGACTTCCAGGCACTACAATGTAAAAAAATAACTAAACGGGGGTTTTCATTTAGAATAGGTGACTAATCAGATATTTTCGAAGTCAAGAAGAAGTAATATAATTCGATACGTAAAACTCATAAATTTACCTATTAGATATCATATTTTAAAATATTGTAGACTGGCCCAGACAATATAATCGAAAATAAGAGATATTATAGTGCACAAGTGTACGCGCAGGCACAAATGCACTCTCTATTCCCGTCACTCTCATACTCCGGTGGGACGACCACTCGACACGACCGGTGAGAGTTAAGGCACAGGACCGACGGCTTTACGTGCTCTCCTAGGCACGGGGGTGA